CGGGGAGGGGCGGACGGGAGGGCGCGGCAGGCGGCGCTGGCAGGAGCGACACTGCAGAAGAGCCACAGGATAACGGCACGGGGAGAAAGTAAGACGGCGGCCAGGGAAAAGTCGCGGGCAGCAGGCTGGGGACGGCAGGAACTGAGTCGTGGACGAGGCAGGGCCATACGCTGAACCGAGCAGCGGGGAAGAGAAGACGTGGGTGGGCAATCGTGTAAAATGTACGGAGGTTGTATAGGGATATGCTTAGGGGACGGAATAGAAGGGGCAGGGGTCAGGGGCATGTATAGACATTGGTATAGAACATGTATAGAGAATACGGCAGAAGACGGGTTAGGGGGCGGCGAGAGATAGAGTCGAGTGATAGAATAAGGGGTCAGGGAAAAAATAAAGTCGAATTAGAGAAGACAAATGACAAACGGGGTTCGGGGTCCGAACTGAAGGAAAGTTGGGGATGGACGCGGGAATATGACGCCTTGGGGTGAGGGGTGGACGCGGGAGAAGACTGAGGGATGGATTGATGGCGAGGAGTAGGTGAGGATGTAGGTGAGGACGTGAGTGTGAGGTAGTAGTGAGGGAAACGTAAGTGAGGGAGTTATGTGAGGAGTGAGTTGAGGAGCATTGATGTGAGGAAACGTGAGAAGGCGGATGAGGGGAAGGCACCCCGTGAGGGAGGACTGAGGGGAGGACTGGGGGCTCGGAGGAGTGATGTGGACGTAGGGAGGAGTGAGGGTGACGGAGGATGGACGTGAGTTGCGGATGGGGGAGAGAACGTGGGCGGACGTGACGGGGAGGGACTGACAGGAGTTGTGAGGGGGATGCTGAGGGATGACTGAGTGAGGACGTCGTGGGCTGAGGGGACGTGAGCGGGGACGTGAGGGGACGTGAGGAGGACGTGAGGAGAACGTGAGGGAGGAGTGAGGGAGGACGTGTAGGGGGATGTCGGGGAGGAGTGAGGAGGGATTTTGGGTGCTGGGATGAGAGAGTGAGGAGGTGAGGGAGGAGTGTGAGGGAGGCGTGCAGGAGACGTAGGGAGGACGTGGAGGGGATGACGTGAGGAGGACGTGAAGGCAGAGACTGGGGAGGCGTGAAGGGAGTGACGTAGGGCGTGATGTGGAGGGAGAAGTGAGGCGGGATTGTGGGGGGATGGGGAGACTGGGGGAGGAGGAGAGGACGTAGGGGAGGACCGTGAGGGTGGACTGTGAGAGAGAAAGACGTGCAGGGGGACGTGGGGGGATGTGAGGGGAGGACTGAGGGACGGCTTGTGACCACCCCGGAATGAGGGATTGGTGGCTCGCCCGTAGGAAGGTCGGATAAGGGGGACGGTAGATGGAGGCCCCTCTGTAGGTCTTAGGATGAGATGTGGTCGAAAATTGTGCAGGGTGACTGAGTTACGAGGTAGAGGTGCTCGTGACGGATATGACGATGTGTGGTACCTCTCTCGGAAGACGCTGTGCCGATCGACGCAATGTTCCCCCACCCAAACCTCACTTCTCGATCCTCATGCGTCATGAGCGAGTATCCGATTTCTAACTGACAAAAATCAGAAATAGAATCCAAAATTTAAATTATCAGTCATAATATATTATTTTCTTGATGTTTGTTAACGCAATTCTTATTAGCACAATTGTTACATATGCGAAGATAATTTTTTTAAAAATCCATCTAATTTAATCATAGCGTTTCTATT